AGGTAATTAGTGTATTGCTAATGTGAGAGATACTCTTGCAGCCTGCTAATAATGATTTTTCATAATTTTATTTATTAGGATATCCTAATACCTGGTATTTACTTTCTTTAGAAAAAAATACTTAAAAGTTTTGCAACACAAATCTTTTCTTCTGTGTTAGTATGACCACAAATAATTTTGATAGAAATATAAGGTGAATAATGAGGTGAACTTTTACTGCAGGTTTTATTCTTGTAGGGTTTCCTTCAACATGTAGAAAACAGTTTGTTGTCTACACCCGTTTTGAGAGAAGCAATCAAGTAGGTGACACTGTTAAGCTTGATGTGCTGCATCCCACTACCTTCAACACCGATTGTTTTTTCTCTCTCTAGACATTATCAGACTGTCTTAAGCAATCATCTAACACTTGCTTTTTAATGAAGTCTCTAACATAAAGCAATTAGACAGTGTAACAAGTAGTTTAGTCATAAAACTATTCCATCATAATCAAATAGGATAAATTATATAAAGGAGAAAAAAAGCAGCACCAAGCTAGTGACAGTATCAAAAAGATTTTTTCCCATTCAACAAATATTAAAATTGAAGGAAAATATTTTAATTCTAGAAATATAAAGAAAGAAATGGTATTCTCAAAAGAAAAAAAAAATCTTGTCACATTTTTTGTGGATTTCCATGTAAAAATATATAAACTTACTATCTTTAGAAAATTTTAAGAGTACATGTGTTCATTTTAATGATGCTATTACTGACACCGAGAACATGCTCCCAGTTGTGCTACCTCTGAATAGTAATATAGAAAAGACTTTGCTTATAAGTATTCCTGAGAACATACTTTGCCTATTCATTGCCTACCTAAAAAGTTGTGTTTTCCATTCATCATAATCAGTTATGACAGCGATGCTTGAAAATGAAATATCACAACTTCTTTACATCATAGAAACACTGTTCAATTTGCTCTATACCCTGAATATTTTAGTAGACAATGAAATTGTAACTACTTCTCAATTATTTATTAACTGCTTATTAGTCTGACAGTATTGACCATGCTTATTTCTAAGACTGGTTACACAGACGTACTGAAATCTAAGTCCAAATCTTGACCCTGAGATTGAAGTTTTGAATATTTTTTAAAGTTCCAAATAATCTACAGGTTGGGATGAGTTATAGAGAATGAATAAGACCCTACAAAAAAATTTTGGGAAAAAAAAAGGTGACATAAAACTTTCACAATACATGAATCCCCAAACAACTTAATTATGCCCTCTAGAGCTAAGTTCCCAAATTCATAAAAAAAAATTTAGAAACCTTCTTTTCAGATTTCTGACTAAGTCTGAGTAAACAACTCATCTACAGCAGGTGAACAAACAGAAGAAAAGAATAACATGGGATAGAAATGACCTACATATTCAATGAAAGTTGCCAGTAGTTGAAAAGGGGAGGAAAAAGCTTACTATCTGTGATACTGTAGCTACAGCATATATACCTCCTTCTCAGAATACAAATATTAAATATTGAGTCTGTGTGATATACTCTACGTGAGTGATTGTAGATATACTCACCCGTACAAATTCAATGTAAACAAATAGTAATGATTTACTGAGATTTTTGTATGTATTACCAATTACAACCACAGGGGAATTTATTAAGACATTTTATACTGATGACATTTTTCAAAATTATTTTAGCTATTAATATTTCCAAATACGCTGTCTACTAACAACTCTATTGATTAGCACTTGTTTAATTAGCCAGTTGGAAAAGCATGCCTCTAGGTGCTCAAAAAAATAAAATGCTCACCAGGAGGGGAAAAAAGGGTTAGATTTGAGAATCAGAATAGGAAAGGGAAAAGTTTAGTTTAAAAAGAGATAATTGAAAAACTACAAATAAAGGTCACAGCAGGGAAGCTTGCCTATATAGAGAAATAGGCTACAGCCTGTTAATATGTAACTACCTTTTTATAAGAACAGTCTGTTAACAGGCTTACAAATCAGACTCAGAGTTTTATTTCCAAGAAGTATAGAGTTGAAGAATATTGTTATTTAAGTGCTACTCTGCACATGTTGGAAAACTTATTGCATTAAATCAGCAAACTGCTACTTTAGGCAATATTATGTCCCAATGTAAATAATATCAGAATCTACATGTGAAATAGCTGTATTTGCAAACAAAAGCTAACTATTTAAAGAGTTAATACATAGAACTTTGAAGAAATTAATGCAAAATTGTTAACAAAGCTCAACTATTCAATGAATATCTAGTGAGGATGTATCTTAAATTAGAGAGAAGGAGAGCTAAAGAGAGAAAGAACATGAGAGAAAGAGGACAGTATTAAAGTACCTATGTGGGCTATTTTACTTTCTTCCCTGACCTGTATTGGCTTCCCTATTATATGGCCACATCCAAGCATTATTTTATACTTAATAACCTCTTCTCCTCCACTGCTTCACTTCTAGAATGGTTTAATCTTTGTCCTTTCTTTTTTCGTCTTTTCATATCAAATTCAGTCGTTTGAACGATGAACAGCTTGACTTAGCATATTTTTAACCAGCTGGTCTAGCACCTAGCTTGCATTGCATAGTCAGATACAACAAATGTTTATACAGAAGGTAGCTTTCATGAAAATGAAAAAAAAAGCCTGAGTATCATGCATCCTGGCTTTTTATAGCTTTTTTTTTAATTCACCATACAGAATACAAAGTTTGAATTCTTTTTAATGGCAAACATAATTCTATTTATAGTTCCAGAAATGAACTTATGCTGGGATAAGAACTCAAATTTTAAAATTGCAATGTGTACTTATAGGAACACCAAGAGGGCTAAAATTTTTCAAAGCCCAGCTTTTACTTGCAACAACATCAAATGGAAACATAGTGCACATATTTCTCTAAATAGGAAATGCTTAATTACAAATATACTTATTCCCGTCATAAGAAAAGGGAAATAGCCAAAATTCAGTTCAAAACAGCTAAGCACCGAAAGTGGCCACTGAAACTTAGAAATGTATTGTCCCCTTCCCCTCTTTTTGACATTCTAAGAGTAATCCAATAGATTACTGTGATGTTTTTTCTTTAAAAAAAATCTGCTGTCTTATATCAACAAAAGGTCATGTGTTTTGCTGAGCAGCCTCCAAAGTTTTACAGGAGGATCAAATAGGAACTTAAAGTCTCCGTTTTAACCACCACTAAAATTTTGTCACCCCCCAGAAATCTCGAGACAGAGATATTGAAAAAGGTAAACTCTGCACAAAAGCATTTAAAAAGAAGTAGAAAGAGAGAGGGAAAAAATCAATGAAGGCAGAAAGTAAGAGTGTGAATGAGAAAGAGGGAAGCAGTGAGTGGGGGAGAGAGATGCTTAATGCTCATTGAATTTCCTGTTGTAGGACACAACCTAAAAACATTAGCAGAAACCTCGGAGACTTTGCAAATCAGTTCAATTTGGTCCGGACAACCACAACAAAAATCAGCAGACTGCAGGAGCACTAGCTAAAAGCTTCTCTAACAAACACGTTTTGGGGGAGCATCTTCTAATTGATTCAGAGACTACTGTAAAATGGGAGAGTTGGACTTCAATATATAAAAGGGGAAAAACTGTACTCACCTTTCAAACTCCTGAGGTAAATCAGGGTCAGTAAGCATGCTGGAAAAGCACAATTTCCCTTTGTCACAGCGGCCACCTAGGATCGTCTCCAACTGAACCTGTCAAGTGAGTCCAAACCTTCTAAACCAATTGATTTTCTCTCTCTCCTCTCCTCTCTTCTCTTCTCTTCTCCTCTCTCCTTCTCTCTCTCCCCTTCTCTCTCTCTCTCTCTCTCTCTCTCTCTCTCTCTCTCTCTCTC